AAATGAAGTACAGTACCACTCTACTCCAGTCGAACTGCTCACGTAGCATAGGCAATTAGTCCTTTAAATCGAAAATGATATGTACAGTGTTTATACTTCTAGCGGCTACTTTAACGTTATACTTGTACTTGAAATCCACATATTGGAAAAGGAATAATATTCCAACGGCCAAAGGATGTTACCCGCTCTTTGGTCACATGTTATCCGTAATAGCCATGCAAAAAGCTCCGGGCGTACTAATTCAAGAAATATACAATGAGTACAAGAATTGCAGCATGGTTGGATTTTACAAAGGATTAGTGCCATCATTAATTATCCGCGAACCGAACTTGGTGAAGTCTGTGTTACAAACTAATTTCTCGAGCTTTCGTATGAACGGTTTCCAGGTTCAAAAAGACGTGGATCCCCTGTTCGCACATCATCCATTTTTCAGTTTTGGGGAAAAATGGTCAAATGGAAGGAAGCGATTGTCCTATGCGTTTACCAGTGGCAAGTTGAAAATTCTTTTCGTGACAGTTACCGGAGTGTGCAAGAAATTCCAAGATTACTTGGACAGGCGGCTTAGCTCCAACGACAAGTACGAAGTTGAACTGAAGTATCTGTTCTCAAAATTTACTGGCGAAGTTGCGGCGAACGCTAGTATGGGCATCGAAGGACGCTGTTTCGGGGACGTGGATGATCCTTTGGCGTTCGATCAGATCGGCCAGGCTATTTTTCAACCGAATTTCTTCGGTAGATTGCTACTTAACTTTATAAGCCTGTTTCCCAGCGTAAATCGTTTCACGAAGATCAAAATCGTGAAGGAGGAACTCGAACAAATGTTCAGAACGCTGGTTAAAGAAAATTTGGAGCACAGGCGAAAGGAATCAACGCCCAGGCACGACTTTCTCGAATTAATGGTGCAACTCGAGAAAGAGGAAGGAAAGCAGCTGCCAGTGGACGCTCTCACTGCTTATGCATTCACGTTTTACGCCGACGGATTCCTAACATCAAGCGTTACTCTCAGTTTCATTGGATTTCAACTTGCTATGCATCAGGATGTTCAAGACAGACTACGAGAAGAAGTGAAGACTGTCCTGGAAAAACACGGAGGTGTGTTAACGTACGAAGCGGTGAAAGAGATGACTTATATGGACCAAGTAATTAGTGAGACGCAAAGATGTTACTCGACACTGAGTGTCATGACCAAAGTATGTACAGAAGAGTGCACGTTGGAAGGATCGGATGGACTTAAGTGTCGCGTGAAACCTGGCACTGAAATTGTCATACCCATTTATGGACTGCATGAGGACCCGAGGTATTGGTCCGATCCGGAGACCTTTGATCCAGATCGATTCAGCGAGGAGAGGAAACACGAGATTAAAAAAATGGCATTCATCCCATTCGGCGAGGGGCCAAGGATGTGCGTGGGAATGAGAATGGCACTGCTGCAGATGAAGTCTTGTTTGGCTACCTTGCTCAAAGGCTATAAATTGGAATTGTCGCCTAAGACGAAACTGCCTTTGAAACTGGTGCCGCTCGTTTTCATTACAGAAGCAGAAGGCGGACTTTGGGTGTATGTGTCAAAACTTTAATAACGGTCGAACATGTAATATTGTAGGAATTATGGATGATAATACGATATGTACGAAGTCTTATTTACTTATGTCATAACGAAGTGGAAACATAGATAACATTGCTATCTCACTAGCAAATAACAGTTACGATAGGACAACAACGAAATCAGTGATAACGTACCTAACGACTGAAGTTTTCAATGTCATGTTTGCCACGTGCCAATAATTTTACGGGACGATGAATTATCGCATAATAAATTCATTTCATAACATCGTTATCAAAGATGAATGAACCTTACTGCCTGCACGTAGAAATGTAGATGATATTACAATTTATCATACACACACTGGGTAAGTCGAATTTAATAAAAATGTTTGGGACACATTCACACGGTTTTTTACACACCCATGTTGTAATAAATTCATTAATCGTTTAATGAAGTCAGTTTCAATTAAAATTACGCTATAAATAAAGATTCGTCTCTCGACTTTCTTCTACGCATGGAAATTCTTCATAACGGAAGGAGGTGAGTAGATTCTCAAACATGTTTCATCTCTTTTATTTGCGATGGATAAGCAAAACAGATCGATAAAGAAACGAAGAGTGCGGTTTTCAAGCGAGGTCTGAAAGCCCCATGTGGTAAGTACAAATCAGAGATCGGTCAGTCTGATTCCGATCCCCAACCCTCTATATTGTCAGTCAGTTATTTATTCTGTCTCTCCCATTCCACGGATTCTCCCATACGTACAGACGTTTTATTTGATCAAGTGACGTTATCGTGGGTAATATTGGAAAAAGTGATGACCTCAGCCTCCGGGCGATCTGGCTCGCTCCATCAGACATTCAGTTCGCCTAACTAACATAACGAATTACGCTATTTTGTGGAT